ACAGTCGTGGTGGCCAGTCACAATTCTTTTAGCTAGAAGCATCTGCCAGGAAGAACGTGCCACTGGAGAAAAAAACCTGCTGGGGGAACTGTGCAAAAAACGCGTCCTCGTACCGGCAGCCGGTACGCTTTCGACTAGGTTTATTTCTTCACAGTGATTTACCTAAATGGAAGACATTATGTTATGTTTGTCTGCTTGTCCACTTAACAGAAATGCAGAAATGCGAGAGCTAGGAAGCTGAGATTTGGAAAAACTAATGCATTATCTCCGCAATCCAGCAGGTGCTGTGATATTGTTTGAACAGTGCGATTTCAGCTAGCAGCCTGTGCAGCAAAACTATGCTAAAGGCGACCTCAGTGCTCGGGCTTGGCCTTATTTCGATTGTCCTGGTCGGCTTTCTCGGGGTCTATCATACTGCTCATCCGGCAAAATCACCGAAAGCTTATACTGCCGCAGGTTGTTCCTTTATTGTATCCTGTAATAAATCACCCGAAATTCTTTTCATAAATTCACTCCATGTAGTTATTCGTTCTGTGTCTGATGAGCATTCAGTTTTAAGATTATCACGAAAGCATCACAGAGCTGTTAATTTCAAATGTGAGGGGCAGTGAAATTGCCAAAAATCTCCGGGAGCTGACTACGCTACCGCATCCAGCTGGAACGAAAGCGAACAGTAAAGTTGCCGATAAAATTCACGAACTCTGGAAAGCTAACGGTTTAGAAAGTAATGTTTTTGGTTTTTTGTCCCATAAACCACATTTTTAAGCAACTCGAAAAAATATAATGAGGAAAATTCGGGTATACTTCGACTCCGGATACTTCGGCAGAAAATTTTTTATTTCAGATGTGCACTTTGTGAAATACGATGTCCTCCTATCTTACCCGGATTACGATAACCCAAATCATTTATATATTCTGGACAAAGACGGGCAAATACAGTACATGACCAAAGGTATTAGTCCCCCACTAATTCCCGAGGAGCAAAGTGCCCAAGGTTCGTCTGCTTATTTTCTCCCATTAAAGAAACAAGGCTAAGTGATTGCGATTAGCTCAAAAAATGAGCGAAGCCGGTTTTATGTCTTTTTCCGTGTTATGTAAATGCAAAGCGAATACTGTTTCAAATTTTGCTCACTAAATGCTTAATATTTCTGGTTGCTCTTTTTCACAAACTTAAATTTACCAAAATTTTTAGAAAATTTGTCTCGCTTCGAAGCAAAGTCGTTTCTGTTGCCAACTGAAATATTCACCAATGTTAAATACTAAAAACTTTTTTCCTAAAATGATTGTGGATAGAGTTTGATAAAACTGTCATTTGAGGTTCGTGCAATGAAGCGTATCCGCCCTTCATTGTATTTGTCATTCAGCCGTAGCGGTACATTTGCAGGAGCAGGAGTACAATGGTTAGCATACTCCGGAAATGGGACTGTTGATGGAGAGGTGGTTTACTGTCACTTTGGCAGAACTGAAGATTTCAAACGTTTAAGAGAGTTCGGCGTTGATCCTGCAGTAAGCATTTAATTTATACATCTGAGTTGTGAATGAAACCCAGGCTGAAACTCATCGGATGGAGCCACGCGATTATTTTTTTTTGCACCGGACTGAAAGTAATCAGGTCATTAACTGCATGAATGTTTGTTGCTTTACATCTACCTTTTGCGTTCATTAGCAAATCACCGTAAATTTTGCATGAAGTGTACAATTTCCATTTAACGGTCGTTCATTAAAGTAACCTAGCTGCTCAGTGAGAAATTTCCGCCAAAACTTTTAAATGCCCTTGCGTAAGAGCCACGCATACCTCAAGGCTGAATTTGAAATACTTAAGTTATACTTGGACATAGAACATCCCCCTTCAGCTTTCTAGCCCTTCTGGAAATTTTCTTCAGCTTTCTAGCCCTTCTGGAAATTTTCAGAAATTTTCCCACAGAAACTTTCATACGCCCCTAGTGAGTACCACGCGTAGTTCAGGGCTGAATTTGAAATATTTGATTTGTACTTGAATATGGAACATTACCCCAATTTCCAGCTTTTCTGGTTATCGATTTAGCAATTTTCCCACCAAAACTTTCAAATGCCCGTACGTGGTTACTCC